TATTTCCCATGGTGAATATGTTTCCTCTGTATGAACTGGTATATATACACCAACAGAATAGAATTGCAGAGATATAAAAATATAGATTATTCATGTGCATTAAAATGATGATAAGTGAATAATTTCATCTTCTACACCTTAGTTGTCAGACCCACATATTCTAGCTTTCATTAGAGTTCTGTATTATGACAAGTTCTGTATTATGGCAACCTAGAATAGAAGTATTAAGATTGAAGAATCGAAGGAAAGGCTAGTAATGATTGGTGAGTAAGGCACTCAAGAAGTGAGAATAGCTTTTCTCCCTTTTAGCTGTGCTGGGCCAGCAGGTCTATATTGCACCACAGACATGAGTCCCTATTCTGCAGAATGGAGTTTGTTGAAGTTGTCAAGAATAAGGCCTCCTGAAAGAGATATCAAGTGAAATTTAGAAGAAGATGAGAGGAAAAAACTTATTACTATACTACAGACACTTGATGATCCAGGGAAAAAATAAGTACATGCTCAAAAACAGGATGACTGTTCTTGTAACTAACAGAAATATCATTTGTCAGATTACTTATGACCATATAAGAGGGGATATGATAGCCTGCACAGCATATGCACGTGAACTACCAAAATATAGTGTGAAAGTTGGCCTAACGGATTATGCTGTAGGATATTGTATTGGCCTGTTGCTGGCCCGCAGGCTTCTCAATAGGTTTGGCATGGACAAGATCTATGAAGGTCACGTGGAGGTGACTGGAGACAAATACAATGTGGAAAGCAATGATGGTCAATCTGGTGCCTTCACCTGCTACTTGGATTCAGGCCTTCCCAGAACTACAACTGGCAATAAAGTTTTTGGGGCCCTAAGGGGCTAGTCTATCCCTCACAGTACCAAACAATTCCCTGGGTATGATTCTGAAAACAAGGAGTTTAGTGCAGAAGTACATCAGAAACACATCAGGGGTCAGAATGTTGCAGATGACATGCATTATCTAATGGAGGAAGGTGAAGATGTTTACAAGAAACAATTCTCTCAGTACATACAGAACAAAGTTACTCCAGACACAATGAAGGAGATTTATAAGAAAGCTCCTTCTACTATATGAGAGAATCCAGTCTATGAGCAGAAACCCAAGAGAAGTTAATAAGAAGAGGTGGAAACATTCCCAAATGTCCTTTCCATAGAGGAAAGATCAGATGGCCCAAAAGAAGGTGAGCTTCCTCAGAGGTCAGGAATGGGCTGCTGTGAGCTAAACCAAACAGGTTTTTCTGTGAAGATTTTTCAGATAAAGACAATAAATAAACTTATTGAGCAAGAAAAAAAAAAGAAAGAAAAAGAAAAAAGAAAAAAAGTCAGATAAAGCAATAGATTTACTTAGAGTTTTCATTCATTAAAAAGTTAAGGGTAAGGATGAAAATGGTGCTCAAGAATGCTACTGCCACTGCTACCAAATAAGAATTTAGGTTAAGCTTCATTCTCATGTGGATTACTTTGGCTGCAAGAATTCCAAATCCAGTTGAGTATAAAACTAAGTCATGAATTTTCTTAAACTAAAATACACTTTCCTGGCCCAGTCTTTTATGAAAACAGATACTTTGTCAGCATAGTTAGACATGGCCCAGTAGTGGAGAGAGGAAGAGTAGAGTGGGCACAAATTGGCCCATGCTGTGGGTTCTCGTTGGCTCTAAGTCCAGCTGTCAGCTCTTTCATAGTCAATGATAGTTGCTCAGGGTGTAAGTAGAAATCCCCAAAGAGATATTTCTTGTATTTCTAAATATTCAGAGATATAATAGTGGTACATTATGGTAGAAAGTGACAATAGAAATAGCTAACATTTATTGAGCACTTACTCTGTGCCAGGCAGTGTTTCATGTATTTACATGTATTAATTTATTTAATATTGGCAACAACTGTGAATAAGGTACTAGAATAATCTTATTTTGTAGATTAAAAAACATAAGAAAACTAAGGCCTATAATAGAAGGAAAAGTAGGCCCAAATCTTCATCATGTCAGATTAGGCCCTGACTTCCTAAACAAGACTCTGAAAGTGCAAGAAATAAAATCAAGAATCAATAAATGGGATGGATTCAAACTAAAAAGCTTATTCTAAGCAGAAGAAATAATCAGTGATGTGAAAAAAAGATCCTGAATAGTGGAAGAATATCTTTACCACGTGCACATCAGATAGAGCACTAATCTTTAGGTTATATAAAGAACTCAAAAAATTTAACTCCAAAAAATCCCCCCAAAAACCCAATCAATAAATGGCTAAGGAACTGAATAGACACTCCTCAGAAGAAGATATATAAGTGATCAATAAATATTTGAAAAAGTTTTCAACATCTTTAGTAATTAGAGAATTGCAAATCAAACTACTCTAAGATTTAATCTTACTCCAGTCAGAATGGCAGTTATCAAGAATACAAGCAACAATGAGTGTTGGTGAGGATATGGAGAAAAAGGAACACTCATACATTGTACCAATTTGCTAGTGGCACCGCAAATTGGTACAATCAATCTAGAAAGCAGTATGGAGATTCTTTAGAAAACTTGGGATGGAACCACTATTTTATCAAGCTATCCCACTCTTCAGTTTTTACCCAAAGGACTTAAAATCAGTTATACTATAGTGATGCAGCCACATCAATGTCTATAGCAGCTCAATTCACAATAGCTTTAAACTATAGAAGCAACCTAGATGCCCTTCAATAGATGAATGGACAAAGAAACTGTGGTGTATATACACAATGGAATATTACTCAGCATTAAAAGAGAATAAAATTATGGCATTTGCAGATAAATGGATGGAGTTGCAGAATATCACGTTAAACGAAGTAAGCTAATCCCCCCAAACTAAAAGCTGAATGTTTTCTCTTATTATTGGATGCTGATCCATAATGAAGGAGGGGGGGCATTGGAAGAATGGAGGAACTTTGGATTGGGCAAAGGGGAGGGTGGGAAAGGGAGAGGGCAGGAGAGATGGTGGAATGAGACTGGCACCATTACCCTAGGTACATGTATGATTGCACAAGTGATACAACTCTATGTTGTGTACAACCAGAGAATATTGAAATGTTGTGCTTCAGTTGTGTACAATGAATTGAAATGCATTCTTCTGTCATGTATAATACAGTAAAACAAATTAAAAAAAAAAAAGAAAACTAAGGCCCAGTAAAATTTATTAGCATGCCCTAATTGACACAGTTCTAAGTAGTAAATCTTGGGTAAAAACTACCTCCCAAAGCTTTATTCTCGTATTCTTTCCTAAGAAGCTAAATTGCTTTTATGGGTAGTAGTAGAGTACTGTGTTTAAACATGCTATGGTTGTTCAGAGTGAAGTACTCCAGGAAAAGCCTTACCAAGATGGTGAAAGGGTTAGAAAAAAAAGATTTATGACTTATCATTTCATGTGTTTTCATTCTTAAAAACTAGGATATAGAACATAAAATCATAGTACTGACAAGACAGAAAAATTTTGACTGAGGTGGGAACTACATTAAGTGAAGCTTCATAAGATTGGAAAGTGTGCCACTGGGAGATGGGTAAAAATATATGAGATCTTTGTACATATCCCTTTAAAAAGTTGGATTAAAAATCTAAGGAATTAGATTTTATTGGGCCCATACAAACAAATTTCTTAAGAGTATTACATGCTCCTTGAAGGGTCAGTTTGCCTCTAAGTCCTCAATTGTAAAATGAGGAGGCTGAATTAGACTATTTCTGAACTGTGTTCCAACTCAAAAACTGCAGCTCTAGCACTGTGTGATGATAAAAATAAGAGATGTGGAGATAGAAAACCTTGGTCTTACTGCTTACTACTTGAATGACCATCATAGAGTTGGTTCCCTGAGAAACAGACTCTAAGAGATTTGTGTGCAGGTGGTTTATTGGGGAACAACATAAGAAGAGAGTTTGAGAAGTAGGCTGAGTAGAGTGGGCATTTGAACTATGATGTAATTGTAATAAATGTTTCATCCATTTTTTTTAATGGGGAAACTCTTTAACTGGGATAACCATTTACAAAATAATCCTGCCTGAATTAATAGGCTTTTTAGCCAAGGTAGGATCTCAGGGATGAAATTTACCCTCCCCCAGAAACAACTGATAAAAATAAAGTACATATGGAAAAATAGTTTTCAAGACCCTGACATCAAGCAATGAAGGATGAGCCTATGTGAGATGAGAAATTCAAAAGTAAGTTCTGGTCTGGTGTCATCTTTTATTAAATAGTGGGAAAATTGGCTGGCATGAATTTAGGTCTAGGATTATTGCCTGTTCCTACCATCCAATCATGGGTGCTATACTGAGAGGGTGTTACCTTAGTGTGGGGAAATAATTATCTCTATATTAAATACTGCTCTGGTCTCATTTAAAAGCAAGACTTAAAAGAATCAAGCTTTTCCTAAGCAATTTGACTGAATCCTAGAGCAAAATTTAAGAACACAAGCCCATCCAGCACACAAAAATGTAAACTTACCAATGTCTAGCATCAAGTAAAAGATGACCAATAATTCAGACAAGTAGAAAATTGTGACCCATGGAAGTAGAATAATCAATCAGAATCAGTTCAGAACTGACACAGATATTAGAATTAGCATATGAGGACATTAAAATAGTTATTATAACTATATCAAAGATATTTAAAAAGACAGGTAGAAATATGGAAGATATAAAAATATTCAAGTCAATCTTATAGTGATGAAAAATAGTGTCTGAGATTAATAGACTTTAGAGGAGAATAGTAAATTAGACATTGCTGAAGAGAAGTTTAAAGAACCTCATAGCATGTTAATAGAAAGTGCCAAAAATGAAACGGAGAGGAAAATATCACAAAATAAAAATAGCATCAGGGAGTTATGGGATTACTTCAAATGGCCAAATATACAAGTCACTGAAGCTTCCAAAGGAGAAAAAGGGGAAATATTTGAAGAAATAATTGCTAAAAAGTTTCTAAATTTAGTACAATCTAATAAGCCTCAAAAACAAGAAAAAGAAGTAAAACCACACCAAAGTGCCTCATGATCAATTTTATTAAAGCCAATAATAATACAAAAAATCTTAAAGCAGCCAGAGATAAAAAACATGGTAGTACTGAGGAACGAAGGTATGAATGACAATAGATTTGACATCAGAAACAATGCAAAGTAGAAAACAGTGGAATAACATTTTAAAGAACTGAAAGAAAAAGCTGGCAACTTTGAATTTGATATACAGTGAAAAATATTTTTCAAAAATTAAGGCAAACTAACCACAACAACAACAAAAAAGAATTCAGCAGAACTGCATCACAAGATATGTTAAAGGAAGTTCTTCAGACAGAAGGGAAATGACCCCAGATAGAAATCTGAATGTGTACTAGAAGTACAAACTACACAGATACATGTATGTGATATTTTTCTGTTTATCTAAATGTTTTAAAAATAATTGGCTTTTAAAGCAAGTTTATAAAAATGTACTATAAAATGTATAGCATACATCAAAGCAAAAAAAAATGGGGTATTTAGGCTACGTAAATATGATTATTGATAAAGTAAGTTTAAGTTTATCATCTTGCCATTTGTTTTCCATTTTATCATTTTTCTTCATTTTACATCTTTCTAGTTTACTGATACAGAGGGCACTTTTATTTTTTACCTTGTATAAAAGATAAACAACAAATGGAGTGAACCCTATAATTGTCACATGAACAGTTAGAAAATCCTGTAAAACACGAAATAGGAAACAGTCGTTCACTAATCCCAATGTAAAGAGGGTCTAGTAAATTGTGGTTGGGTCAGTGCCTTCTAGGTTTTATTTATTTATTTTTTCTATATAATTGTGCTTCTAACCAACACTAGAGGCAAGATTAACAGAATCTCCTTATTCTGGGTGAGGTGGACCCTGCATGGTTCAACTATCTCAGCATTTTCCCAGAAGAAATCAGATTCACAGAATGAAACTTATCAAATCAGAAGTTTATTATGTAAAACTACACATGTCGACACACTGCGCTTTCACGACTGACAACTCTGGGGACAGGAAGGAGGGGTGCAGCCAGACAAGAGATTATATAGAAAATGAGCATCGTGTATGTGTCTTTGTATTTCAGTAATGCTACTGCAGGGGAGATATAAACCAGCCTTCAGGCTCCAGAACAAAAGAGACATTTTTTCCCCTTCTCATTTGGTCCCTCGACGCTGTCTAAAGTAGCGATTGTAGGCAGCATTGTATCCGTACATCATGGCATAGCGTTCGCACAGTCTGAAGTCATCACAGGCTTCCCGATTGATCTCATGGGCAGGCTTGCTGCGCTCTCGGACCCTGGAAAAGCAGAAAGAGGCCCAGATTGAGAGGCACAAAGAAAGCCAGGAAATAAGAATGAGGAAAAGTGAAAAAAAGAAAGTACAGGGAATATTGGAGAGAGCCATTTCCCCCAATGTGAAGAGACATTTGCAGAACAGGGAGGGATCAGGCAGAACAATTTTATTTATTTGCATATTTTAAATGAAAACAGAACTATTCTCTCTGTCCTTTCCCTCCTTCTTCTCTCTCTTCATCTTTCATAAGAGTCTTCGAGCTATTCAGTTGTTTTCTGTAGATTGGCTTGAAATCAAAGAATTTTAAGACATTAAATATCTATGATGAACTCTGTGATAAAACCCTTTTTCTCACTCCATTCAGACAGGTGATGCTACGCTGTAAAATATACAACATACTTGTGGAGACCCTCAACAAGTCCTGTCACCCACCTCTCTTGGGCTTTAGCTCTCCATCTCTCCTGTGGGGACATAAAGGTGTTAGCGTTCCTTCTGTTAATGAAGGGATCTGAAAACAGAAAAATAAATGAATACAACTTTAGGAAAACAGTAGCTGAAAATATTTTTATGAATATCCCGTATAAATTTATTTGAAAGGAAATACATTTCTTTTTTAATATGTATTTTTTTCTTTATATATGACAGCAGAATGCATTATAATTCTTATTACACATATAGAGCACAATTTTCCATATCTCTGGTTGTATACACAGTATATTCACACCAGTTTGTGTCTTCATAACTGTACTTTGGATAATAATGATCATCACATTCCACCATCATTAATAACTCCATGTCCCCTCCCTTCCCCTCCCACCCTTCTGCCCTATCTAGAGTTCATCTATTCCTCCCATGCTCCCAATAAATTTCTTATTTCTAATAAATTCATTGTACTTTATGTCATCAGAGATAGGCCAAAATCAAAGCAGAGGATAAAGCCTATTCCATAAACTGCTTGAGCCAAATAAAATAACTCATTTAAGTGTCTTAGAGACTTGTCACATGGGCCACAGAATTTTTCTTTGGTTTGTCTTTGGGCAATGACTTTGCCTTTCTTGCTTTTGGTAAATCCTACTCTCTGTGTTTTTAATTTATTTGAGGAGAAATTCTCTCTGTCCTCAGGACTTAGAAAATATAACTTAGATTACCATTACTGAGCAGTTTAAACACTAAAAATAATGAACAAATACCACACTCAGTCTTTGTAAGTCCAGATATTCAACAGCACTCAGCTTAAAGCTGACACCCTAGTCTGTCAGCGGAGTTGGCCTTCCACTCTGTACTTTACCATTTGTCATTTGTCCTAGTTTTCCATTTGTGTGGTGGATGTGGTGCCGACTTAAAATTTCCAGATGAGATCGTATGGCTCCTAAGCATGTTGAATGCAGTTTAAATGTCATCTTATACTATTCCAAGCTTTAAATATTGCTCATTTGGTGGTTTTTACAGTCATTTTTATATTTTCTTTAGTTTTCCAAAGGAGGCCCTCTTTGTCCTCCTTGTTATGTCTTACCAGTTCATTTACTTAAAAACAGGGAGAAAATTCTTTAATGCAGGAAATTTAAAATTAGGAAGTCAAGTATTCACTTACTAATTTCATAGGATTCCATGCTTTCATGGGATTCTGGAATTAAAAAAAAAAGGTTTCATTATATAATTAGTTTTCAGACACTGCAATGGTCTAAATTAAGGATAGATGGAGAGGAAAGAATAAAAAAATGTGAAGGATATATTTAGCCATGTGGTTAATACAAATTTCAGGAATCTAGGATTTATGAGCTGTTTCCCTAGCTCTGTCCTTGCTGTGGACATCTCTACCCTTGTTTATCTGATGTCGAAAGAGGCAGTAGCCTGTTTTGGCTAAGATTTCCCAAGTTCTATGAGGTCTTAAGTAAAGTAAGACATGTTAGGTGCTGTACAGAAGTCTCCAGAGTGCTTTCTCTTCTGATTTATTCAGAGCCTATTTGAGAATTGGGTCAAGGAAGTTAGAGGGGATATGAAAACAGCCAGGCCTCTCCAGGCAGGAGAGCTCCAGGACCCTTGCTCTGCTGGGCTTTACCAGGACAAGTTTCTAAGAGGTTCTGTAAGCCTCATAGGAACGTGTGTTAAATTGGCAGCTGCAGAAACCACTGGATCCAGAGAAAACTTGTACGGGGCACAATGCCAATGCAGAGGATGTCAAAGCAGAAGATTCTTCTTTCTACTGCTCTCCTGAGCACAGCAGGTAAATCTGACAATAAAATGCATAAATATATACATCTCTATACATGCACAAATTAGTTTTCTTGAAAACTTAAAAAGGGGGTGACAAAATAAATCTCCTTATTCAGAAAATTTGTGAATAATTTCAAGGGTGAGGAGCAGAATGCTTAGCATTGTTAATGCAATTTAGGCTTAAACCTGCTAAAAGATCCAGGTAATTGAAGCAGAATTATGTAAACAGTTTCACTTGAAATTTCCTTCTATACTTTTTGCAGAAACACAGATATATTTAACAACATAGAAACCAGAAAAAAATTATTCATTTTTTGACAAGAGAAGTTACAAAATAGATTCCTCCCCCCCCCGGAATTCTTTAAATGTAAAACTGCTTTAAAATTAATTCACTGAACAAATGTAGCAAGTTCATGACATTGTCCTGTCCCCAGAAAGGGATGTACTTAGTATTTCCTATGCAAACTGGTTTTCTTAAAGGTAAAAAAATTCAACCAATATCTTTAAGCCATCAATCCCAAAGTCTAAATCCATAGCCTTAAAAATGAGAGCGCAGGGGCTGGGAATTTGATATCTTCTTCCTAAAATATCTAAGTCTCTAGGTGTACCACTGAAAGGATTTAACTGTGAAGTTCTTATAAGTGCCTGGATATTTTACAATATAAAATAGACTTGTTGGAACTGATGGGTATCCCCTGAGATTCAGAGAGAAAAGGAGAGGAAAAGTGGAAGTAAACAGAGTCAGAGGCAGGAAAGGAAAAAGAGAGACAGCAGGGAAGATTTCTCACCATAACACAAAGTTGCCACCGCTAAGGCAGCCACAATGGTGAGAAGCAGCAGGCTCTTCATGGTCTCTTGGGCGTGCTGTGGGTGGGTCTCTGTCTTGCACAGCAGCAGTAGGCAGAGGCTCCTACAGGCTGTTAGGGAAAGCCTGAGGGGTTTTTATAAGAATTGGAGCTGCTGAAAGGGGAGGAACCAGTGGGAGGGGGCTGGAAAAGGTGGAGGCTGGTTGGCACTAAACTAACACTGGGACTTTTCCCAAATATTCATTCCTTCCAGATATTATCTACTCAGAGTGGGCAGTTTTCCCTCACTCCTGGTCCTGGCTGTGCTACAGCAGGAGGCTGCCCTGGTGCAGAAGTTGTGGACACCCTATGTTTGGGGCCAGGCCTGGGCAAAGATCCACAAAGAGGGGAGTTGCCACAAACAAATGTTTGCTTTTCTAATTTCTTCTCTGATCTACCCTCCTGGCTCTGACTGCTGGCCTTTGGGGCTTGATTCACAGACAGAGCCACAGTGTTCTGTTTGTTCCCTAGACGGAGGAGTAGGACAGGCCCCTGGGGGGAAAAGAACCTTACTTCCTAACTGGCTACAACTTAGACATCTTCACAGTAGGGCTGAATTACCAATCCTAGACCCCATGCACCTTTTGCATTTTTCCAAGGGCTCAGCTGGCTAGCCCAGAGATCCCAGAGATCTCATCAGTTCTGTTTGTTAAATTAACTCCCTTGTAACTTATCCAGTTTTGTGATGCTAGTCCAAACCTGTGAGGTAATGGATCTCTTAGGCTGATATCATTGATGGAGAAAGTGCAACAAGGAGAGTAGGGTTCTCATTTTCTGAAAACAATGTGTTGCCAATTAATTCAAGAGGCTTTTAGTGAGTGGCAGAGAAGGTGCAAAGTACTTGGTTAGATGCTGTGTGGGGGCTACAAACAAGACACACCCCTTAGTAAGTAGTAGCTCCTCACTATAGGCTTTGCTCTTTGGCTATAGTGTATCTTCACATGCAAGTCTTCACTTTTACAATACACTGAGGGTCCTGGGGTGCTATGACTTTTCTTAAGGAGGATTTCCACTTGGTGCTTGTGGGTATCTTGTAGATTTTTCTTTCTCTTTCCTTCTTTTCTACCTGATCTATCTCTGTCCCTTGGTAACCCAGGAGTTGTCTTTGCAGACAAACAGACCTGAGTCTCAGAGCAGCTTGGGGATCTCCAACTCTTGAGTGGAATGGCCAAAGGGCTGAGCTGCCTTGAAATAAATCAGAACCTATTTATTTCAAGGAGCCGTGATGGACCACTGGACAGAGTCTCCCATCTTGTGAAGAGCTTTTACAAATACTAAAGGGTTCCCTGTTAAAGCAAAATAGCTTAATTGTAATCTGGAAGATTAGTGAGTTCTGAGGGACCTATAAAATTCAGGTTTTCCCCCCAATTTTTTTTTTCACATTAAGACAAATTCTTTGTGATAAAATCTTCAAGATGATCTCAAAGGAAGACAATGTATGTCTATCCCTGACAAATTCAACCATCACAATGTCCACTAACAAGATTGTGGTTATTTCTCTCTTTAAATCACAAACTTTCTTTCAGGGTTGCTCCTGGGTCCCTTTTCCAATATGAACCACTCAAATAACTATGTTATCAATAAATAATTTAAAGTGCAGGAGCCATTTTTCCACATTGCATGGTTCTGGAGGAACAACTAGCCATGGATAAGCATTGTATATAAAATCAGCTCAGTTAACATAATATTACACAAGTACAGGTCCAATGTTTCACCCTTAAAATAGAAAGTTTTTCATGACCTAATCCTATTTCTAGAATTAAGGAGAATTCTTTCCTTTTCCCAGCTATAAACAAGTGATTTTAAAAAAAGTTAAAAAAAAAAGTTTTTTGGTCTAGGCTGCTTAGGGCTTGCTAAGTTGCTAAGTCTGGCCTTGAACTTGCGATCCTCTTGCCTCAACTTCCTTAGCCACTGTGCCCAACTTAATAAAGTAAAATTTTAATCAATACAAATGTAGTGTGATATTTCAATACATATAAACAAATGTATAATGATCACATCAGCATAATTGGTATATCCTTCACTGCATGCACATTAGCTCACTCATTCCAGCCAGTTTCCAGATGTTTCCTCTATTCTCAAGTTCAGATGCAACTGTGCTCTATCAGTTTTCTGACATCATGATTATTTTTACACTCTCCGAACCAAACCTGAAAATCTTACACTTCTTTTACCAACTAAGATTTTCATCTTTTATCACAGTTGTTTTACTATTGCTTCCACTGTATTCCTGGGCTTATAAACATTTCTCTTTACCATCTTGGTTTTTGTAAGACTCACATTTTCTTTTGTGAACTGCCCTTCACCAGTTCTTTGCTTTTCACTGTTCTCCATCTGTTCCTGAGCTCTTTTTATGGGCAATCCCATTTATATATGACTTATAAAAATTATTAATGTATAGAAGAACTCAGCGCCCTTCTTTTTCTCTTCCTCATGACACTCCCTTTCTCAAAGACAATGTTGTAGATGCTGACTCCATTCATATGCCTTTTTTTTTTTTTGTAGTGGTTCTGAGAATTGAATCCAGGACTTCATATGTGCTAGACAAGTGCTCTACCACTGGGGATCTACATCCCCAGTCAAGTTGGCCATATGTTTTTATCAAGAGGGCTGGGACAACTAATGAATCAGGGATGGCACTTTCCAATGGAAGTGGCCAAGACAGATTCATTTGGATGAACAAAGAAGAAAAGAATGAACATAGAATAAAAATAAAAGGTTCAAAACGAGAAGAGCCTTGCAGATTTAGTTTGCTGGGTGAGTTTTAGGTAGAGTTCGAGTTATGAAGAGGAAAAAGTTGAGAGAGTTTTAGAATGTGAAAGATATTTAAAATGAGACACAGGAAAAGACAATTAAGAACCACATTGGTTGTGAAAGGATTATCTAAGATTATAAAACACTGAAAATCATCAGGAAATATTAGGATCTTAAAAATAAATTTTTATTTATAAAATTCACTTTCTTAATGGGAATGTCTTGTAAAGATTAGACCACATGAAACTCTCACTTACATTTGGATTTTAGATAATTAAAAACATTTCTATAACATTTTCCCTTAGTAAAGTATTAATTCGCTGAGAGGATAATTGAAGACGCTTCTAGAAGTGAGAGCAAAGATAGGACACAGTTATATGATTGTCAGTTTCACAAATTTTACAGGAGTCCACTCAAGTGAGATTGGCAATGCAGAAACCTAGGCAATAGAAGTGACAGAACAATTCAGGATCTCCTATCCCATTTGCTCTCAGGAGGAAAAGAGGTGCCTAGCCATGTTTGCCAAGACCAGAAGTAGCCCATGGTTTTAATCATCCAACCATCCACCTGTCCATGCCTCTATCTGTTCAATATATTGAGCACTTACTGTGAGCCAATTCTAGGCTGGAAATACAGTGGAAAAAAACACAAATATGGGTCCTACCCCATGCATTTAGTTTGCTTTTAGGATACAGATTGAATTGGTGGCTCCTCTTATTTAAAATTTTGCTTAGGCAACCAGCTGGCCTTAGAGAGGATCAAGGGATATGCTTTTTTATTGGGCTAACCTTGCCCAGGGGGATTCAGGAGCACCGCTGTTTCCAGGCCATTCAGAAAGACATATATGACAAACTGAGATGATTCTGAATTCAGGGAGGGAATGGAAGAGAAGAAAAGTTGGCGAGCTTCCAGGAATCACTGTGGGGTGAAACTTCTCAGAAAAATACATTTGTTGGAGGATCAACCAAAAGAGTCATCCCATTTCTATAAGATTCCCGTGTCTAAAATAATAGCACAGGTATAATAAGGTTAATCTATTTCCCTTCCAATTCTACCTCTTCTCTCTATCCTTGCTCATCCTTTTTCTAAACAACTCTTTTTCAGGTGGCTGAGCATTTTGTCTCTTGGAGGAATGTTCCTGGTTCCCATCAGACTTTTTTGTTTGTTTGTTAGTTTTTTTCTTTTCTTTACCCTCGCCCCACCATGGTGCATGAGATTCAACTTTATTTACGGAATGTTGGTTTTATGAGTTCATGTTTATTTATTTATTTTTATAACCTAAAAACCCCTAAATTTTTACCCTTGCCAATAAAGGAAAAAGGCAAATAAGAGTTAGGAAGCAGCCTCCCTGAAGATAAAAACAGAAACCACTGTCTAGGATACCACAGGACAATGAATGGAGAGAGAGAAATCTGGCCAGCTTCACGGGACCGTGGTGACCTTTCCAGTCTATTCTTTTAAGGGAAGCTCCTTGAATGGGTTCTGTCTCCAGTTTCTTAATTGACATAGTTTCCCAGACATCTAAGATCTCTCATTCCTTTTCTTCATTTGTTTTAAATAAACTAGGTGAAAAGAAACACTTGTCCAACTCAGGCGTGGATGGGATATCTGGAGAATCACAGACAGAAACTTCTAGGGAAAGGTTAAATTAATGGAGTTCTTGGTTGAGGACAGCTGTGATTTTTCTTTTTATGTAGATTATTTCATCACCCTTTTCCGACATTTTTACTGAAAGTTTCAATTTTTTTAAAAGATAGTGCTATATTTGGATAGGGGTATAGTAAGACCCATTTGCAAAAGGCTTGATTCTCAGAGTAGCATTATTGGGAGGTGGTGGAACCTCTAAGAGGTGGGGCCTAGTAGGAAGCCTTAGGTCACAGAGAGCATGTTCTTGGAGGGGATATTGGGATCCCCCCCCTTCCTCTACCTCTTTACTCCCTGGCTTGTGATGTGAATAGTTTTGTTCTACAATATATTTCTGCTGTGATGTGTTGTCTTCTCATAGGCCCAAGGCAAAAGGGCTAACTGATCATGGATTAGAACCTACTGTGAATCAAAATAAACCTTTTCTCTTTATAAATTTGTTATCTCATGCATTTTGTTATAGTGATGGGTAGCTAATACAGATATTAAATATCAAATCAGAATTATACAACTATTCAAGTACTGTTATCACACACCAAGTGTTTGCTGTATACTAGTTACTCTGATAATAGCTTTTTACTCATTGTATTATTTATGTCTCATAATAATCCTATAAACTGATCATAATTACTCACATCTTCTATATAAGGAAATAGAGGCTCAAAGAGGTTCAGTAGTACACATAGAAAC